CTCAGATTTCTTCAATAAACCAGGTGAAGGTTTGCATACTAAAAAATTTTTAACTGGGATTTTTTTTCCCCTGAGGCACCAGAAATCAATTTTCAAGCTAAAATGGCATTGTGAACTTAACATACAATATCATATTGGTATATGAAAACACTATCACATTTAATTCAGTGCTTATAATGTCATAAACACGTAATTCCACCAGAAAGCTATACTTGATATTTACCTTCTAGCATCTAAAACTTAATGCTGACTTACTTTAGCCATCCACCCTGCTGAGGCTGATTTGAAGAAGTATTTGGGTATCAACATGAAGGGCTGCGGAAAGGCATTTTCTCAACAGTTAGGCCCTTCATTGCCAACCATGGGTCTCTCCAGTTCCTTCACTTCCTTCCAACAGCTTGTAGACTTCATAAGGAAAATGTTTATGGCTCTTCCAGTTCTTGAACCACCCTACTCACTGTTAGCACCAAAAATTTTCAATATTCAAATTTTCCATAGCATCACCTCTAAGCCAATACCATCAGTCTAAGGGTTGAATTAATGTTCATTTGATATCATTTTATTATATTTCAAAAATCCTGTGGATAAAGAGGATTTTATAAAGATTCTTAACCAGTTTCATCCCTCCCCAAATACTTCCAAGACGGATTTTAGAGAAACAGCTCTAAAAAAAATATTGTTATTTTATATCCTAATAAATAGAGAATCCTAAACATAATCAAAACTTTAGCCCTGCTAACATTCGAGTCTTTACTCCACCAAACAGCATAGCTGTTCCACCCCTTACCTCCTACAAACCCTCCGCTCTAATCAAACTAATGCAACTGCTGAGTACTAGGGTTACACCAATAAGCAAAATAAATGCTGGCACAAGAAGCATTTTTTTTTCCATGGGGCTCTCATTCTAATTTCATTTGAGAAATACAAATAATAGAGATAATAGATAATATGAAAGTATGATAAGTATTCAGACAAAAAATAAAGCATGATAGAAGGACAGAGAATAAGAGGCATGCATGCTATTTTAGGATACTAGGAGCAGCTGTTTCTGTTTAAAAAGCAGACCTCTGAGCAGAAGGAAGCTTGAAGGAGGGCAGCACGTGAGCCATGCAGCTATCTGAGGGGAGACATTCAAGAGAGAAGTTTAAACACCTTGGAGACAAGAGTGAACTAGCAGGTTCCAAATTAGCAAAGGCACCGGCATGGCTGAAGTAGAGTGAGTGGTGTGGACAAGGTTAGCAGACATCAGACATCCCTCAACTTGAAAAGTAAACAAGGTCCCACTACACAAATAGACAGACCCCCAAAAGGCAGTGAAAGCAATCGGTTATGAATATTTCATCTTTACCAGGACATAACTTATGAAAAAACTAGAAGAGGTTTCTTGGATTAAATTATAATTCAAAACCCTGCAAATCAGGGCCAGGCTGAGAATTTAGCAGCCCCAGTCCTCAATGAGTTCACAGGTTGATAAAGGAGAAGAACATGAACAGACCTCAGAGCAAGAGGCTGTATGTCCAGTCTGGGACCAACAGAAAGACCCACTCTGAGCAGACCTCTCGGGGACATGTCCAGAGTGGTGTCACTGGGACTATTCTTGACAATGGTGTCATCATGTACAGCTAGCAGTGACAGCTTTAACAAAATTACAGCAACAAAAAGATAAAAAGACTAAAAAGGAAAGAAATCCAGTTCAAGTTCTCAAAACAACTTCAATTTCATCATTAAAAAAAGCATCACAAGCAGTCCTCAAAACACAAGTTGGGGACCCATACAACATAACTGCTTCTGATGCTAGGACCACTGGTAGAGTCATGGAGTCTCAACTCAAGCCTTACCAAGACAACGTCACCGGTTCTGTGTATTGTGCTTTCAACCATGGCCTGCCAACCATGTTCTTTCCACTGCACTCTCCTTACCAGTCTTCAGGAAAATATCTTCAACCAACTTACTTTTTATTCCTTTCCCACACAGTTCCTTGAGATCAAGGAGCAGGTATATTAATTAAAGACTATGCTTCACTTTTGGAAGACATTTCAATTCTAGTTGGATCGATACAACGTACATTGAAAATGTCAAGTCATGAGCCCATGCATGACTTAATCTTTATTTTAAATATATAAATGCTTAGGGGTATGGATTTGAGGACAGATTCCTCGAAGATGTGTAATTTTAATCTGACTTTGAAAATTAACACCTTAGAGAATATTTGTATCAAAACATCCAAACTGAGAACAGTATCCACTAAATACTTAAAAGTCAATTTTCATCACGAATAATTCCTACAAATTCTGAGAGTTTATATAAACGACTATAGTGATCTTGTTCTCTTAATAATAAAGTGTAATTTAAAACTTAGTTTATATACCTCTAAACATCTATGTTATTGGTAATCACTTGCTCTCAATATTAACAGAATGATTTTGCAGTTTCATAAGAAATGTTTAAGCTAGTTTGGAATCACCCTCAGTGGCCATTAAAACTGGATTCCTCTTGCTGTTCACCTGCTAGTGCTGCACCGACACACCAACGTTAATGTGAAAGTTTATAGTGCGACTGATGACGCTCAGGTGTGAGAGCATCCCGGTTTCCATATGTTAATATTCCTCCTTAAATTATGAGCTGATCCATAACACTGCACTACAGTTACAGTAGATGAAACACTGAAAGAGTAGTTTGGTTTCGCATGGAAACGGTTACCAAGACAAACCTTCTTGTAGGATGGAGTTCCAAGAATATTAAATCATAAGAAATTGTTTCAGCAGCTGGTTAAAGCTGAGTGTACATCATACAAGACATCTGGTTGTCTGTGCATTTTCAGTTCATTTAAAAAGTATAAACACATTAAAACACTGAAATGTTTGATATATTACAACACTGTCTGCTTGCTTCCCAAGAGTGTTTAGTGGCTGGTCTAGTCATTGTACTCCTGGCTTATTTACTAGCTAAAGGGCTTTATTATTTCAATCCTCCTTAACTTCACCAAGACATTTTATCAACAAAGGGAAAAAAAAGAATGTACTCATTTAGGAGATATATTAAATTGCTGGTATTTGTAAGGACATAAGGTAAAGGAGATGATGTTATTTTTAAAATTAAATCAGAAACACATAAAGCATTGCATATACTATGACAAGTAAATAGCAAACAACATATGTGTGCCCCTTCCCGCATTTGACTGTATGTAACAGAAACCTAGCCACAGTGGCTTAACCAAAATAAGGGTTAATTCTTTTCAAGTAAGAAATCCAAAGAGAAGCAATCTAGGGCTGGTTTAATAGTCCATAATGCCATCAACATCCCATGCTCCTGGGACACTATTCTTTGCAGGTGGCACTCATCGTCATAGTTTTAAGATGGCCTAAGTGTTGCCTCCACATTCCAGGAAGGAAGAGAAGGACGAAGAGCGAAAAGCTCTGCAAGCTCACAGCTTCTGTTTACATATAATTGGCCCGAGCTATGTCACAGGGCCACATTTCAGGCACATTCAGTTCTCAAGTTGCCTGAAGACTAAGCTGGGCACACACTGGCCACCCAAACAACATTGGAGATCTGTTAGAAAGGAAGGTGAGAAATGATATCAGGCATGCTAATAGCTGTGTCTGTCACAAGAGTTCAATTCGCATGGGACATTTTCCCCTGTGCCCTTCCCTATCAGGTGATTCCTCCCTCAGTTATCTCATGCTGCACATCACCAGGCCTAATAACAACAGGGGTTGGTGGTTCTCATTCCTAAATCTACATTACAATTCTGGATGTTGCGTTTATGTACAACAGAAGCCAGCAGCCCAGTTTCTCACAAATACCTGTCATTTATTTTTGGACTACAGGTAAAGAGCACATAGCCAACAATATCTTCATGTAGATTGAGATTCTATGATGATAAACCTTAAAATCTACTTCTTTATTTAGAAGATAATTCCTTTAAAATATGCATTCTCAACAGGGATGATATCATCCCCAAAGGAGTGAAAATTGGTTCATCAAGGTGAAAAACTTCATAGATATTATAATGATTTGTGACCCTCCAAAGGCCACAGTATATAAACATATTCAGTGTATTTGGGGTATTCAGCTTTCATTAGGGGGGAGAGTCAATTAAGAAAAAACTCCCTAAAAGGACTCCTCAGAGAGACAAAAAAAAAAAAGGTTGAGAGTAACTGCTTAAAAAGTAACAAACACGTTGAATCATGTCAGAATTGCATGAAGTTGCAGTGACAGAAATCCAGTTACAGTAGTATAAACAAGTAAGGGTCTATTTCTCTCACATGAGAAGTCCGGAGTGAGACAAGGAGAGGGGACTGG